TGTATGTCTATTTCTTCTGTTCTTCATATTTGCAAACTCGATAATAATTATCTTTTTTGTATTTTTTCTTTTGGCTATCAGTATTGTCTGTGATCATTTGTGTTGAATCATTTAGTTCTGTTTTATTCACTTTTAATTCTATATGAAGGTAAGCTTTAGCAAAGTTCTTTAATGGATTAGATAGTTAATAATTCAAGTTTTCAGGGCCATAAGCTCTCTGCTCTTTACCATAGGTACTCAACACTACTGTATAATGTAAAAGCAATAGCAAATACGTAAGTGAATGTGGCTGTTTCCAGTAGTACATGGTTTACAAATATAGGCTGTGGTCTGGATTTGGCGTGCTTTGCAGTTCCTTTGATCTGTAGTATTCTGTTCTGTGACTGTGTCAGACTTTGCCCATTATACTATTTGTACTTAAGCTCATAGTTCTTTCCAGTGAAGACACATTTTTTTTTAAGATAGGTATTTTTACTGCAATACCATAAAACTAATGCATAGTGAATATAGATTTGATATAATCTAACGTTTTATAACATCTCCACATAGGACTTCATTTATAACTGCTACTTGTCATTTTTTATCATTTGAAATATAGGCCCTTATTTAAAAAAAAAAATCTGAAATTTCAAAGATCTTTAGAGCTTTTAAATAAGGAACATCTTTGGCTTTATTTGACTAGACTGGAGAAAACTGAGTGTGTGTAATAACTTGTTTTCCTTTTTAAAGCACCTCTTTGTTTTAGAAAGTCTCACTTTGTGACCTGGCTGTCCTGGAACTGGCTGTGTAGACCAGGCTGGCTTCAAACACAGAGATCTTTATTTCATAGATACGAGCTGAAAAGTCAGGCTTGATAAAGCCTGGGTCACAGTGTGCCACTGAGCCCTGGAGATGCTGTTCTTTCTTTTGTCTAGTTGGCTCTTGAATAATGAAAATCTGCTGCTGGCCTAGCCCTTGGTTTGTAGGTCTAAGTCCTTATGCTCTTTAAAGATCAATCTGTTGTAAGTCGGTGTGTGTTTTTCCATTGCTTGGGCTTAAATCTCTGCCTGAAGACTTGGGGTCTTGTTCTTCATTCTGGGAAGTCCTTTGTTATTTCTTCCGTTGTTCTTAGTTTTTCTAAGAATTCCATTTAAAGCATAGGGAGAGCTATTTATCCTTTATTGTCTCTAAACATCTTCCAGTCTGATTCTCTTTGAGTTAATCCTCCCATTGAGCATGAACTTGACCAAGTTTTGTTTGTTTGTTTGTTTGTTTGTTTGTTTTCTTTGGTTTGCTTCTGTTTTGGCACTTTGCCATTCTTGTTTGTGGTTTATTGATGTTGCTTTCAAGTTCTTGACAGTTCATCAAGAGTCTTTTCTGATGCAGAAAATTTTCTCTTCCATGGAGAGTAAGAGGGCTTCTGAAAACTGTCTTTCACAAGGCTGAGCAGATTCTGTGGCTTGGGTTGCATACCTTTTTTTAGTGTGTATTTTGCAAGAATTAATGGTGACCTCACTGTAAGATAGTGTCACATTTTCCTTTTCCTGATTTCTTACCTTGTATGTGAAGTACAGTTCAGATTACTTGCCTTTCATACCTAGGACCTTGAAGCCTTTGTTCCAACAGTGTTTAGTTACATGAAATCCACCTAAACAAGTTCAAAGTGAGAAGTCACGTGCTACAGATGTAGTCAGTGAGGACTGTTACAGAAGAGTGGGATGGAACTGAGACTGTCACCACTTAGTGGCATTTATGTAACTCATGTGTTTGTGGTGGTGCTGGTATAGACAGACCCTGTGCTGCTATGCTAGTTGTACAGAGTACAGCACAAGAAAGGAACATAACTGTAACCCCAGTACTGTGAGGCAAAGGCAAGATGACAGTGTGAGGCCAGCCTGACAGTGAGTTACAAGGCAGCAGAGGGACACTCAAACATTAAAACAAGATAAAAATGACACAACACAACAGTAGGTGCATCCTACTTGATGTCTTTATTGGCACAGCTTCCTATCTTGTGCTCACTGCATCTCTTGATAGTGTTATGGAGCTGTGCACTGTGGCATTCACATGGTGACATCATCTAACCTTTCTCAGAATGCATCCTCACTGTCAGATGACTCAAAAGCTAGGTATTTAAAAATCGTTTAGGAACAAAGCAACTTCCTGTTGTCTTTTTTACCTGAATTTTTATAGTCTTTATGCCTCTGCCTTATCAACTATTCAAGAGCCTGCTGACTTTTCTCTTTTCTCCTTGTACTTGGCTATTCAAGTCTGGTTCTGTGTCAGTACATGGGCTAGTTAAAGACCTTTACCTTGTTGGTCTAGAATGGATTCATTGTATACCTTACATGCAAGACCTTTAGGTGGAGTCCCAGGAGTTGATCATGCTCAAAAAGCTGAGATTTAGGGACTTAAGGCTGTTCACTCTAAGTACAGAAACTAAGACTAAGGTTGGAGCCTTCAGCAATCTCCGTTGTGCTCTGGCATAGCTCCAGGAGTTGACCTAAGCAGGGCAAGTGAGAGAATGAAGAATAAAGGTGCATTTAGAGAGAGCTAGGATTGGGTAGGCTAGATTCTCAGGTGGAGAAGCTGCACTACACTGGAAGCTCAGCATGCTTATTATATACTGTTTACTATATATAGGTAAACAGTTAGGTGGGCTTACTGCATACAGTGGAACAAAGAGATAGGCTTAGCTAAAAATGGTAGGTGTAGTAGTCTCTGTAAGGGGAAGGGGAATAGTCTTGAGCCCATAAACATCTTTGGGCCACAGGGGCAACTGTGGTTAACATTTTCTGAATACACTTTCGTGCTTTTGTTTGTTTCTTTGTTTGTTTTTTGTTTCGAGACAGGGTTTCTCTGTGTAGCCCGGGCTGTCCTGGAACTAACTCTGTAGACCAGGCTGGCCTCGAACTCAGAAATCCGCCTGCCTCTGCCTCCCAAATGCTGGGATTAAAGGCGTGCGCCACCACCGCCCGGATTTATAATTTTTTTTTTTTGTTATTTTTTAATTTTTATTTATTTTTTTTCTGAATACACTTTCATCATTTGCACTCTACACCTATGGAAGGCTTTGCCGTCTCTCCAAGCCTCACCTTGAGGAAAGCTTTGCCAATCAATCCTAACTTTATGGTTCCTGACATGGAATTCCCTTTGTCGACAACATATATTCACTCAGGACTTTACTTGTTCCCCGTAAGTCCCTGTACTTGCCCTCCAAATGGATATTGTGTCATTTAATTACACTCAGATCATATATACCATAAGCCTGTTTAGTGACATGGAGATGACCATTTATCATTTTATGACCCAGTGTTGGAGTAATGGTCCCATTATTGGCTACTTTCTAAAGTTTGTTTGGGTTCCTGGCAGACATGGTTTTCTTTCTGGAAATCAGTCTTTTAGTCCGTTCCTTTGTTTGGTGATACTGGCCAGACTCTGGATCCAGTCATAGGTTTGAAATCTATGGATTTCTGTTCTTTCTTGGGAGCAGTAGCCTTCAGGTGTCTTCTACATTGTATAGTAATTGAACAGTTTCTAGTGTTGTGGGTACATGTGTAAATCATTCTGTTTTCTGGCAAGCTCTATGCTATATATAAAATCACTGTTGCTTCCTGGAAAATGCTGTTTACTAGACTTGCTAGCAGTTAATTCTTAGTTGCTTTACTACTTATGGTTTGTTGTATTTAGTTTGGAGTTTGTTTTGTTTATTGAGGCAGGATCTCGGTTGTTTAGGCTAGCCTTGAACTTATTATGTAGCCTAAGCTGGGCTCAAAATCAATGCCACTTCTGTTCAGCTCCCAAATGTTGGAATTATAGACATTGAGCTGTACATCTGGCAAGAAACATTTGTATTTCTTGAAAGTCTATTTTAGTTTTGGGTAATATGGGAAGGGCATTTCTCTTGTGTTTTAGCTCACCAACTCCTTTTTCTTTCTATTACTATAGGGACAAGCTGTGGGAGGTTTGTGTCTCCATCCTGGCTCTCCTGCCTAGAGTCCTCAGGTTGATGCTGCAGAGTCTACGGGTGAACAGAGCTTCTCCTGAGGAGCTGCCTGTTGTAGGCCAGCTGCTTCGCCTGCTGCTTCAGCATGTGCCTCTTAGGTCACACATGCTGACAAATGCCATCATAGTGCAGCAGATTATCAAGAATATCACGGTAGGCATCATGGAACCCAGTACTTTGTCCTTTTTGTTAGAGGGAGGGCCAAGAACTACTTCTGAGAGAATTTCTTGTGTACCAACTGACTGTCCATGATTCAGAACCAGTCTTTTAAGAATACGGTCTTAAAATACTCAAGAAGAAGGTGGCACCAGGAGTTCAGTTGGTGTAAATGTTGCGGCTCTGAGGGAACACCTCTGGGAGCCAAGGAATACCACAAAGTCACACCATATAACAAACCTCATCCGAGATTCATTGGAAAGACCTAAGAGTGGCTGCCTCTGCTCTGGAGAGAGCAGCAAAAACTAAAGCAGGATGCAAGCTTTATATAGGGGGCGTGGAGGAGTGTGCCAGGGTGGCCTGGGATTGAGGCTTGATCTTGGGCTCTTTTTTTATTTGTTTGTTTTTTGTTTTGTTGTTTTTGTTTTGTTTTCAGGGCAGGGCCTGGCCACTCTATCCTTCAGGGGTTGGAAGGCTATTAGAGAAGTTGTGGGGAGGGGCAGTAGCTGCTCGTCCACCTCAAGGGTCTTACTGTTGGAGAGTTAGGCAGTAAAGACATTGTGAGACAGGTTTTTTTGCGTGATAGTGATGGCGACTCTTTTTCACTTCTGTAGTTAAGCTTATTTTTCTGTCTGTTAAAATAGGATTAATGCAGGTTTTGGTGACTGTTAAATGAGAATATTCAAGTAATCTGATTAGTTTCCCTGATATAGTACAACCTAATTGTTTTGGTATCAGCCTACCTCAACAAAAGAGAAAGAAGATTGATAGCTGGCCCTATAGAATTAATCTATTGATATTAGTGTAAAGATCATGAAAACTGATGCCAAGTGGAAGGAATAAAGGCATAAGGAATGGATGGTGGTTGTCCATAATTATTTTTATTAGTCTCCAGCATGTCCAGGAGGGAGCAGTTCTGCAAAGAACTTAAGGCCACATACTGTTTCTCTTGTCACATTAACCAAATAACAGATCCAACTTAAAAGAAGGACTTACTGTATTTGACAGTTTGAGAGGGCACTCTGTTATCATGGAGTAAGCACTGTGGCTGGGATACATCTGTGGCAGTGGGTATTTGCTGGGTGGATTTACATCTCAGTAGGTCAGGAAGTAGAGAGCCTAGGCCAGAAGTAGGCTGTGTCCAAAGAACCTTCCAAAACATTAACACTCACTGGGGACTAATTATTCAAATACCTAAGCCTTTAGGGCCCATTTCATAATTTCAAAATTTCTTAGATGGCTATAGTAACTCCCAACAGTTGGTTGGTTTGTTTTGTATTTTAAGATTTCTTCTAGTTTATAGAAGAAGAGGATTTTTTTTTTAATTTTTATTTCTTTACTTAGTCACTTTTTACTTTCTGCTTACTGCCCCATCTCTCTGTCATGCCCTGCCACAATTTCTCCCCCTTCACCTTCTCTGAGGGCCCCTTGGGTATCCTCCTACCCTGGCACTTCAAGCTTCTTCGAGGCTAGACTCGTCCACTCCTGCTGAGGCCAAACAAGGCAGTCCAGCTAGAACATATCTTACGAATAGGCAACAGTTTTTGAGACAGCCCCTGTTCCAATTCTTCAGGACCCACATGAAGACCAAGCTGCACATCTGCTACATATGTTCAGGGAGGCCTACGTCCAGCCCGTGTGTGTACTCCAGCTGGTGGTTAGGGAAAGATACTTTTCTGGAGGCCATGAAAAATGTCAGGTTCTCAAACTAAAGTGCCTTTTGTTTTTCTCTGCAGACTCTGAAGAGTGGCAATGTTCAGGAGCAGTGGCTTACAGACTTACATTACTGCTTCAGCGTGTACATCAGTGGCCATCCCCAAGGGCCTAGTATATTGAATGCATTGTATTAAAGAAGCACCATGGTACCTCCTGTTTGAAATTAATTGTTCATGCACATTCATTTTATTTTGAAGAAAGACTGATGTAACAGATGTTTGCCATTAAACCTCAAGTTTTAAAGCAGTTAGTTGTTCATGAGCTTCCTTCATACAGAAGTGGGAAAATAAGGTGTAAGAGTTCTTAGTGGTCTCACAGTGTTTGCCTGGACTAACACACGATACAAGGACAGGCAATAGAACATTTTGACTTTCATAAGAGCTAAATGTTTACAACGCATAGAGTGAGCTATGGTGCCTTCATTTGCTTACCAGTGAAACTTTGTGATCCCATCTACATAAACCTGTCTTCATAATTTTGAATATAATTTACTAAACCAAAAGTCTAGGTAATTAAATAAACACCTGCTTCCCGTCCTTTAGTGTTATCACAGGAATGACCTGATGTCATCTTTGCCTCTGTAAAAGCCCATAATCACTAGACTTTATTTAAGCCAAGTATTCTTAGCTAGAATGTGGGTTCCTTTCACAAGAGAAATTGCATTTGGGGAATACTACATATTTCTGCAAGTTGTTCAGAAGATGCAAAGGGGAAGAGAAGAAGCCTGAGTTGGTTGGCGAATTCTGCTGTAAATAAACCCTGTCCTGCTGACTTGGTACTGTGGTATCATTGGTGCCATTCAGCTTTAGTCTTTTCTGGGCCAATTTGGAAACTGAAAACTAAGGAAGCCACAGAGTGTACGTCTTAGTTCCACTTTAGTACAATGGGTAGTTTCTAAATGCATATACTAAGCCATGATTGTGATCTAAAATTTAAAATGTCTCTTGAGATGTTTGTCATCACAGTATGTTCCAGGGAAGTAAAAAGAGTTGAGGGTGGCTGCTGCAGCCCAGGTTTTCTATCTCATTTAAGCAGGTTCTCTATCGTGAAAAACCTAGGCCTGTGCCAGTTAGCTGTTAGAAATCCCAGCCCAGCAGCTCCTTTAGTGCAGGTGTTGTTACTTGCACTGAGTATGGGAGTTCTCATCTCCAGCCATGTTGGCTGAGGTGAAGCACACAGCTAGGCAATCCATCCGAGCTTTGTGCTCTGGTCCTTTTAGGGCATGCTGAGAGGAATAAAAAGGTAACGCTGAGTAGCAGTTCCCAGGAGAAACCATTTGAACATTGTCTTTGACCACATATGGTGGGTAATAAGGCTTTAGGTACAGATAGTAAAGCTTTCTCATGAGTAAGAGTTTACAGAGAGCAGAATTCCACACTGGTTCTGATCTTCCTCCAGAGTCAAAGCTTTGGCTTGTTTTTTGGTTGACTGGCTGGTTGCAGGTTGTAAGAAAACTTCTTTGATCTTCCACTGTTGTCAAGATGTATAGACTGCAAACTGCTCACTGTTAAAAGCAAATGGATATTTATATTACTGATCTGAATGGCAGAGAGGAGTTGCTTGTGGTAAGATAAAAGGATTTGGGATGGGGCTATCCCTGGTGCCAAGGAAAGAAGTGATGAGCCAGGTTCCTAGATAAAGATGACCAGTTCTTTCTCACCTCACTGATAGACACCTCTTTAAAGCAAGAACTGGACTTCGAGGGGCTCTAGGTGGACTCTAGATCTTGAGTGGGTGGAAATGGTAAGACAGCATCCTTCTCTGCATGCCTTTCACATGGAACACATGATTTAGACACGTCTTAGAGTTCTTTTGCCACCACAACAAAAAGGTTTTAGGGATGACAGGAGTCTTTGAGGGGAGGGAAGTGTTTATTTTTATTTTTTTGGTTTGGTTTTAGTTTTATTGGAGGGTGCTTTTTAATTGTATTTATTTATTTATTTATTTATTTGAGAATCTCTCTGTAGCCTAAATTTATTTATTTCTTTATTTGGGAATCTCTGTATCCTAATCTCCTGATAGTTGGGATTACAGGCACTATGCCTGCATGCCAAAATAGGTTTCTTGAGGCCTGTGACCTTAGAATAACACTTTTAGGGTGTAACAGAAAACATTAGTTTCATACATAATAACAAATGACAGGCCACAAAAATGGCGGGGAAACCTGAAGTCTGCTGTATTTATTACTGACAGATAGTAATGTGGAAGGTAAAGTATGCAATGTGGACATTTTGGGCTAAGGAGCACACCTTAATTTCCCCTGATTTTAAATTACTGCTTTTGGATCTTGGACACTGTAACTGTGTCTTGAAATAAGTTGTCATCTGCATTCCCCTCTAGGTGGAGGTATATATTGAGTTCCTACAGAGGTGCCATTACCAGTAGCCACATGAGCCATGGTCATTCCTCTTGCTAGTGGGGAGCTTGTCATTTTAAAGAGATGGACACAGGTGGCCATGTGTCAGTAAAGAGCTAGGTTGAAATCCTGTGCATGATGGTATGGGTGTAGAAGATTACAGAAGGCAGAGATTGCTTATTTGGGTCCCATGCATACAAAGCAGTAGTCCAGGGAGGCTGTATCTTGGAATTTCCATCATTTTCTGGCTTTCTATGTGCAAAGCCTTAGGAGGGCACTTCCTCAAATTGGAACAGGAACATGTACTCTGTGCAAAGCAATTTTTAAAGAATTGAAAAGCCTGCTGAGCAAAATCAGAAAACCCTTAGCCCTACTGAATTCCTAAATAAAAAAGCAAACTAATAATTCAGTCAAGTTAATGCTTTCCTTTGTGGTTCAATCATCTGATTCCATGTTTTAGCACCTGTGTATGTTCAGTTCATTGAAATGACTTATAGACATGTTTTTCTTTAACACGTATAAGCCCAGTTAAACTTAAGCATCTATCCAACTGGCTTTTTTAAATGCTTTGTGCTTACTTTGGGTGTGGTTGGACCTAACTAACCTGTATTCCCTTAAATTTGGGGCTACACAAAGATTCCATTTTATTTTATTTCAAATAGGTCAGAAATTTATAGGACAAGTTGCTTATTATATGAAGTTTTAAAAAAGTATTGTATGTACTTACATTAAGTTTAATACTGAATGCGTTTCAAGTCTCTTTCTAAAAACCTCTATGCTGCTAAACATCTTCATTTTTAAGGATTGCTGGTAAATCTGGATTTGAGAGGAGAATGATCTGATTACCTGCTTTGTATTTAATTATATCTAAATGCCATATATCTTGTAATATGTGACAGTTCTGCTTTTGACATATTTCTCGAGTCCAGTGTAAGGACAGTCTTACCACATCTGTGGCCCTTGATTCCTTTGAAAGTTTCTGACCACCCCACCTGCTACTTCGTGATCAACCTGCCTTGTGTTACATGAATTAGCCAACTCTTATTAAAGATTTTGCAGTAATTACTTTGCTTTTCTCCACCAAAACCTAAATGAATGCTAAAGTTCATGCTGACAGTCATTGTTCACCTTCCAGCTGCTCTCTGTTTCTGCAGGATGGCCCTGGAGAGCAGGGAGGGTGGGGGAGGGTGTTGCCATAGCCACCTGTGAAGATAGGCCAGACCTGGCATTAGCTGCTGACAGCCCTGAACTTATCACCCACTCTTAATGCTGGCGTGAAGGAAGAGGTCCTGAGTAAAACTCACATATGTTGTGAGGGAAAAGACATTCCCTGTGCTGCTCCTGTGGGTGCAATTGTGCTAGAGTCTGAGCAGAATATGCTTTAATGTTTGTGGTGGTCTTCTATCTATGGTAAGAGGAGATTATTAAAAACGTGACAAAGATTCCAATATATTCCTTTGAAGAAAGATATTTACGTGAAGACTATAAAGGGATCAATAATAAATGGTTGTCATTTATTGATTCTACTGGAGGTAATATTAATCAATTTTTAGTTGTGAAAAGCATTAGTGTCTTAAAGATGTTAATGGCAGTAACCCATGAAAAGGGGGTAAAAAAGATATAACCTGAAGACAAAGGATCATGGGAAAATTCATCCCATGTCCCATGCTGACTCCCCATCTACTCTCCCACTGTAGTGGCTTCCTTACCTGAATTGAGATGAAGCACAGGAGGGACTTTTAAAGATTTGATGGGATGATGTACTTTCCCTTCTTGAGAACAACCTGCAATCAACCAACAGATAGTCACCTATCTGATGAATGGCTGCCAAGACCTGACCCGGTTCTCAGTTCTTATTGAGGTGAGGGCTTGCAGGCGTCTGCCAAGATAAATTAGGCATGGCATGGAAATGGTGGTTTTTTTTTTTCTGTTATCTGAAAAGTTTGGGACCAGAAATGCTTCAAATTTTGGAAAGGTTTTGCTATTACTTTTGTGGTTGGTTTATTTGGTTTGGGTATATTTACATGAACCTTACTGGCTAACCATCCCTAATCCAAAAGTCCAAAAGCTGAAATTATTCAGAATTGGGAACTTAAGTGATTGAAGACATGGTAGGTTGAAATGCTGTCAAACTTCCAGGGACAGGGATGTTCCTAAAGGGACCTGGGCTCTGTGTTTGAGGAGACTATGCAAGGGTACCTGACTGCTAATTTATCTTGATGGCCTTTTTCAGGGCTAGAAATACTTCAGTTTACAACAGCTCATCTGTTAAACAGTGACTTGAGTTGTAGACACTTGCATAGGTGAGCAACACTATGCTATCTAAGCACACAAACAGCCAAAGTGACATAGGTTCTGAGGATCCAGGAGGTGGGTAATGTGAGGGGAGGGCCCAAGCAGAAGTCTGAGAGATTTAAGTGGTGAAGCTTTCAGTCTTCGGACCTAGAAGAGGAGCTCTTAGCATTAAAGACTTGTAAAAAGTCTATTGGTACTTGCAAGTAAAATATCTTCTAGTATCTGGATGGAGGGCTATCCAGTTACGTCTTATTGCAGATTGTGGCATGACACTCAGGATCCCAAGGTGTTCGTTACAAAGTGCCCAGAAGAATACTTACCGTAGATCTGCCTGAGCACTGAGTGCCTGGCAGACTTTGTGGCCGACATGCCTTTGGATGGGCTCTTCGATGTTCTGCTTACTGAGATGGACTTTGGGAACTTGAGTTCCAGTTCTTTCCTCCAAACCTGGAGGAGCAGGGCTATGCACACTTGGGTACATCTGAGCACATCTTTGGCTCCAAGCTGCTTCAAATGCAGAAGCCGAGACAGGTGCTTCCTGAGCTGGTAGCTGGTGGGGTCACAGAGGACAGGCTTTAAGACGCTGCAATGCCGACAGCTACAGGAATTACTTAATGGGAGGCAAGCTTAGGGTTAGCAAGCTCCCATCCCCATTTCAACATTCATGTTGGATACTGAGAGACTGGAACTGGGTAAGTCCTGACCCTCCAGCAGCCACAGGCATGTGAGACAGGCTGAGGGGCAAAGCAGTACCTGTGTTGCGTGAGCTGTCATGCAAGAGCCAGAGGATGGATGTTTGGGAAGCTTTCCATGGCTGCTTGGCACTCCACTGGGTTTTAAAGAGGGAGTAGGTGCTGCCTAGCAGAGAAAGGTCTTCTAGACAGGAGTGATGGAGCATTTGTGCCTAAGAGATGTGGTCAAGCACCACGACTTTGGTTGGGGAAAGGAGGTGAAGCTGAACTGCACTGTAAGGAGCCGCCAACATTATTAATCACGCTACATCCCAGGCAGGCACCGTCCGAAGGCTTGAGTCCTGTAGGGGAAACCTTAGGACATTCATAAAGACTGAGCATCCTAAGGTGAGAGCAAACCCTGGGGTTCTGACTTAGCACTGCTGACCGGTCTGCTCTGCCCATGGTGAGTGCACATGGAAGGTTTTAGGAGAGTGGCAGAGTTTACTATGATGGCCCTGTTGGGAAGTGGAGCCTGTGTCATGAATGGTGGCAATGTTAACATTTGGTGTATGTGTGGGGTCTAGACCATAGACCTGTCACGAACCATTTAACAGAGAGCACCATTAGTGTTCATCTCTATCTATGTTACTGTGACTTACAGGAGAGCAGCCAGCCCCATTCCTGTGTGACAGTGCACCAGAGACAGGAACCTTCCCAAGTCTTCCAAAACCAAAGAAAAACAAAATACCTCCCTTCTGGGCTTGGTGTAGGCCCTCCCTGCTTCCTTAGAGGCCAACTTCATGATTCTTCCCACCGAGTAATTAACTATAGTGTCTCTTGACCGGGTGGCACCACCTTTCTGACAAATCAGTTTCTTTTGGTTGAAATGCCAAGAATCTTCGCTATTCTCTGCTCCAAGTCACCGGGAAGCCCAGGCATTGGCTGGTGCTGTGGGAGCTTCAGCTTTCAGCCTGCATTGAGCACGTGGGGACATGGATGGGCGGGTGGAGCATAATGATCCCCAGGCAGAGGAACAGTCGCCGGCTAACATTTTCTTTCTTTCTTTCTTTCTTTCTTTCTTTCTTTCTTTCTTTCTTTCTTTCTTTCTTTCTTCCTTCCTTCCTTCCTTCCTTCCTTCCTTCCTTCCTTCCTTCCTTCCTTCTCTCTCTCTCTCTCTCTCTCTCTCTCTCTCTCTCTCTCTCTCTCTTTCTTTCTTTCTTTTTTAAATGATGGACACTCTTTTTTTTGTTTTTGTTTTGTTTTTTGTTTTTTTCGAGACAGAGACAGGGTTTCTCTGTGTAGCCCTGGCTGTCCTGGAACTCACTTTGTAGACCAGGATGGCCTCAAACTCAGAAATCCACTTGCCTCTGCCTCCAAAGTGCTGGGATTAAAGGCATGCACCACCACCACCCAGCTCCCAGCTCCCATTTTCAAGAACATACCCCTGCTTGGCGTTAACGCTGTTCTCTTTTAACCACAAAAATAGTCCTTTTAAACCACAGGCTGTAGGTTCTTCCTACTGTCTAGCCTGTTGCTAATTTATATCAGTAAATGCCAGAGAAATGCTGGTAAGAGTTGGCTCTGTGTGTTGTTAAAAATCAAGCAATTTTACACAGCTGTTTTCCAACTTAGCTTGTCCACTATTCGGTTTTAACGTTTAACACAGTCAAGTTTAAAGCAGGCTTGGGGGCTGGGAGCTGGCTCAGCAGGTAAAGCACTCGCCACTAGAGCATGAGGACTGCAGTTTGGATCTCCTGCACCCGTGTAAATGCCGGGGCGTCATGCAGCCCCCACACACTCCGATGGCAGGGATGGCAGGGATGGCAAGCTGGCTAGCTCTGAATTCAGTTGAGAGTCCCTGTTCAGCGAGCAAAGTGGATATGGTGGAGGAAGGACCATTTCCTCCCCATCTATATAAGATACTCTAAAACACAGGTGAATTAAAATCACAACCCCAAGACTCATTTTTTCTGGGCCTAAGCCTCTCTTTTCTTGTGTCTTCTAGCTGGACATGTTCTCCATATAAAGATAGCCTGCGTTTCACAAGTACAGGAGTGCCAAGGCCTCTCCCCTTAGCCCTTCAGTGTCCCTTACGGTTGGTGCAGGACACTGCTCAAGGACAGTGCTTTGGGCTTCAGTTGGTAAGTAGAGAATAGTTGAAACAGAATCCTTCAGTGTGCTTTCCCATTGGCTCTTGAGAGTTATGTCCCACCCCAGGTCTTCACAACAGTGCAGCCCAAGAGGCCCTGCGTAATCACCTGCACAGGTCGGCGTGCGCTGTGAGGCACTGTTCTTGAAGGAATGACTTTGGGCTCATTTACTCTGGACACTTAGTGACAGGACCTGTCAACCTCTGACTCTTCAAAGGAGTCTGAGAGCAGACGGTCTGAGAAGAGACCTTTGGGCTAGAGAGCAGCTGTGGGGCCTGACAGGGTAAGCCCGATGTTTTCAGCCAAGATGCTTAAAGCAAAGCTACCCTGGCTGGTGGCCAGTGTGTATGCCGGCATGGTTTCCCAAGTGGAGAGACAGTGGCTGTTCCCATCTGTGGCTTGGCAGGGGGTCACTACCTTAAAGTCAGTACTGGCACCTTCTGCCCGGAATGTTGCTAAGCTGATGGATCTCCTTGTGCCTTGGTTTCCTCATTTGTGGGATGGGGTGAGGAGAGACCTTCCTCATGGTATTGTGAGGACTTGTCCTGATAAATGCAGACTGCTGTTGACAGTGGCTGTGACAATAGCAGCTGCTGTAAAAGTACTGCCTGGTGTGTGAGTACCACCCAGGCTTCCCTTCTCTACTCCAACAGGAGCACAGGGCACCTTTACTACTGCCATTAGCGTGACTGCACAAACACACTGGTAATGGAAGGAAAGGCCCTAAGACATGGGTCCAAGGGTCAAGTGCTACTACCACAGGCGTAGCCATTTTCCGAGTGTCTAAGAACATAGGACTCCTGATCCTTGACCTGACAGCCTCCTTGGGGTGGCTAGAACCACTTGAACAGACGGGAACAGACAGGAACAGACATAAGCAGCCTACCATAAACATTAGGTGCAAGGGTTGATAAGTCCCTCCTCCTAACTGGGAAAACTGAGGGTCAAGGGAGGTGCAGAGATTTGTCTAAATCAGGTAGTTGTCAAAGCTGCAGTGGGAAACTGGGAGGTGTGATTGCAAACCAGGGCTTTACTGCTCTGTCCTGGTCACTTTCCGGTACAGAACACTTGCATTTTACTTACACCCTGGAAAGTTCTGGGAGGGAGAGGTATGCATGGCACGGCAAGCCAGAACTCACTGTCCTGAGCTCACTGGGACACCAGATAGCACAGGGTGTCACAGTAGCAGAAACATGGCAGATCGTAGCCCCCTGCCCTCCTACCTTCGCCAAGCTCGCTGGATGACTGCCGCTGCCTTGTTTTTTCTTCGAAACAGCTCTTTCCTGCTTCGTTCCCTCTGGATTATCAGCAGGCGCTGCTCTACAGGAAGAAGGTGAATGTTCACACTCTGTCCAGGCGGGGGGCCACAAGCCATGTCGTTCTCTGGAGATGTACAGATGGCCTCATAAAGCTTCTTGCGTCCTGACCTCGACTCTTCTGTGCTGAGTGGCAAATCTGAGGAGACCCCTCCTATAAGCTTGTCCTGGGTCAACTTGTTTCTTGGTGTGTGATGGTGGAGAGAACTCTGATCAGCACAGGTAACGTCCCCCTTGGCACTGCCAGGTCGGCTAGACCCAGCTGGGGAGCACCTGTCTCTGAGCTGATGGGTGCGTCTTTTCTGGGAAGCACATCTGGGCCTGGGTGCCCTGTCCTGTCTCTTGCTGGGCTTCCTGGGGCGGTCCTGCTGGGAAGAAGCACTTGCAGCTGCAGGGCTGGAGTCCTCTCCTTTCTCAGCAGGACAGGCTGACCCAGTGGACAAGGGTAGCCTGGCTCTGCTTGGTCCCTCCTCACACTTCGGGTGTTTGCCATTGGTCTCGCCTCTGCACTTCTCCACAGAGGATGTTCCCTGGTGCCTGTAGCTGTCACCTTCACAGGATCTGGAATGCACACAGGCAGAGGGGCCTCTGCAGTGCTCCCTGGGTGTTTCTTGGGTAGACAAGGAAAAAGAATAGCAGTCAATGTATGAAACTCCCAGGTGAGGACAGTTCTGTTCATTTATTCACATGAGAGATGCAGACATGTCCATTAGCATCACAGTAACCATGGCAATGTGATCAGAACAACACTCATCTTTTCTTTCTAAACATGATTGTTAGGCAGCCTGAAAGCATTCTGTCACTCCCTAGAATAACAGGATCATCTTTTTAGAGGCAACCTCTTGCCTTCCAGGAAATAAAAAATGAAAGGCAGAAGGACATGGGTGTACACTGAATCTACCACTGTCCAGTAGTGGAGCAGGGAAGGGGTGGTATTATTGTATGCTTGGCTGTGCTAAAACAAAGCCTTGTAGGCAGAATGTTAACAGGAGTGAAGACCCTGTAAGAAGGCAGAGTTCCAGAAAGGCTCTACCTGTCGGAAGTAATAATCCACATTAAAGGGTGCTCACCAGCACTAGGGGATGAAGAAGATGTGTCTCACTCAACCTAGACTCCAAATGGGTCAAGTCTCTCTTATGAATTTGAAACCAGTCTTGTATTCTATGTGGGTTTGGGGTGTATTTCTTAACCATATGAGACATTAATGTACAAACTGGTCTTAGGATGAGTTATCCCAGGATGTCCCACAAAGGCATATGCAATATTGCTTTTGTGTGACCTGTCCTCAACTAAACGTACATATACAGAGGATGTCTTCTGAGGATGCTATCATAGTCAAAAATGATAAAGTACACAGGGAGCAGTCTGCCTTGAACAATAATTGTTGTACACGTGGCAGGATTATTTCTATTGGAAGTTGGGTAATCATACATGAGCTTAAAATACGCAAAAAGGTATGTTTGAAAAAAATGAATGTGACACATAAAACAGGAAGCATATTCTCAATGAAAATGGCACTGGTATGAGCATCAGGAAGGAACTTCTGCTTTTGAAAAGGCAGAGTTGACACATGCTCCACTGAGGATGGAATTCAGAACAAATGATAGCATCCATAGGACATGTTGAGCTAACCAGGCAGAAATAAAAACAACCAAGATCCAGGAGTCTCTTGTGAGCAGAGTGATGAAGAAGGCCCTTGAGGGTCACAGATCCCAAGGCCTGGAGATCAGTCTTTCAGCCTAGAACCTGCTAAGAGGTGTTCTTTGGGATTGGAACCCTGGACAGCCATGTCCACGGAGACAAAGGAGACTAGCAGCAGCCTGACACATGCAGCATCTGAGCTCTGGGGACGGGATCACAGACATCTTGAAGTGCTAGTTCTCACACTGTCAGGCTTTAGTATCAGCTTAGGTTTCAAGTTACTTCCATAGCTTTTTATACCAGTGTTCAGTTCTCAGCCAGAAATTTATAGGCTCATGAGTTCAGTCAGCAGAGCAAGTGAGAACAAGTATATACATATACAGAGATATATGAGGTTACATATTATAAATGTCATGTATCATTTGCATGAGAATATATTGTAATGGTTTGAATGAGAATGGCTTCCATATGCTCAAATATTTGAACACTTGGTCTCCAGTTTGGGAAAAGTTAGGAGGTGTGGCCTTGTTGGAGAAGGCATGTCACTGAGAAAGGGCTTGGAGCTCTCAAAAGACCACCCCATTCCCAGTTAGCTCTCTCTGCTCTGACCCCATGCCTGCCTGCCTGCTGTCATGCTCCCATCACGATGGCCATGGACTAACTGTCTGAAACTGTAAGCCTCAGTAAACTGTTGTTTAAGTTGCCTTGGTGATGGAGTCTATTCATAGAGTGTCACAGCACTGGGTCTAGTAGCAATGTGATTAAAGGACAAAATAAATGCTCATCAGAAACTGCGGAAGTCCAGGGCCAGAGGCCACCATCATAACTATGTCCAGTCCACAGCATACCTGCCTAGCTTGGCAGTATCGTTATGGCCGAGTACTTTAGAAAAAGGCTGGCGTGCACTGCCGTATCCCGTGTGTTTACTCCGAGTCTGCAGAGGAGCACATCAGCAGAGCTGCACTGTGCACCTGAGGCTCCTGGGTAATCAGTGTGTGCTCATAGCTGGAGGAGAGAGTACGGTGATGCTCCAGAGTCTCCCAAATGAACTCGTGACTGACGGAGTGACCTGAGCAGAAGCTCATCTGTTAGAGCATGCACCCAGTAAGGACTTTCTGGTTTAGGGCTGGACACTGGTGTCTTACTTCAGGATCTCCAGCCCGATAGTTCTCCCAACTACGTATTGGGTTATTTTGTATTTCAGACACCCTGGGAGGTACTGACAGTTCCTGTGTGAGAGGATGTGCTGGGGTGAGGGTGGGGCGAACCCCCACTGGGTATTGACATTGCACAAGCTTGTGCACTGTGACTATGGAGTCACATCCACTCAGAGGAGAAGTTGAACTGTCACTTTCTTAAATCTTGCCTCAAGACCAGAATGCAGCAGAAGTGATGTGAATGTTCTGGAGTGTGCACTTTCAGGCCATACGACTTCTGCCTTTTCTTTGAACACTAATGAAGATGAATATACGTGGGAATGACAGACCATACAGAAGAGATCTGAGGCCCCTCATTCATCTGCAGCACTGGCCGGACATATGAAGGAGGCCGTTTTGGTTTTCTGCCGAGTCGACCCTGCCTTTAGCACCTAGTGAGTGAGCCCAGGTGACCCTCAGCATTTCAAGAAACAGTATATTGCTCTTTTAAGCCACTTGGTTGTGGGGTAGACAAACAATAACCAACATAGAAATGGAACCCTCAGAAAGGTGCTGCCCTAACAGAGGCCCTTGACATCCACTTGGGACTGGCTGAGCATAAGCTGCTAGGGCAACAACGAGGCTGGAAGAGCAGGACAAACTGTCGCTGGGGTCTGGAGAAGGGTAAACCTTGTAATTCAGGGCACAACGACTGGGAGCACAGACCCTACACAGTGAACCTGGAGATGCTGCTCAGGTAGTCTCCTGATGGAAGGAAGAAGCACTGGCTGCCTTTAAAGCCGCCAGTGTGTTTTGGGATTGACCTCCTCAGGTCCTCAGGCTTGAAGGCAAGACTTAGAAAGGTTTAGTAGCTCTGGCTTGCTTCTCTGTTACACTAAGTAATTGCTGTTGGCTGGTTTGGATTCCTTCTTTTCTGCTCAGCTTCACTAAGAGCATCGGGAGAATTTATAATATGTCTTTATCTTCTGTCAGTTCATCTACATATATAGTGGAAGGAAAAAGAGATCCCTACAAAATATCCTCTCACCTCCACATGTGCACCAACACACACGCACACGCACAC